CACCACCCGGGCAAGGCGGCCGAGGGGCGCGGGGGGCCCGCGTGCGCCACCTCCGGTCGCGGCCGGCCAAGGGGCGCCACTTCCGGTTGGGAGGGGGCGGGCCGGGCTGACCCGCGGGCTGCGGGACCCATCATCCTGCGTCGGCGGTGGCCGCGGCAGCCCCGTCGGTCTGGGCTGAGGCCTCTGGAGAGGGCTGGACTACCCCACCCATCATCCCCTGCCTGCCCCACCATCGCTCGGTAGCGGAGAGTAGCCCTCTAGGGGTGTTGAATTGCCCGATGGGATGGATGCGCTCCCATCTTCCCGCCTTCTCTCCCGCCGAGGGACTACACTTCCCATGCTCTGGCTTCCTGCCCTTGTTGAGGCCCCTGGCTGGGGACCACGGCCCTCCTCCCAACCCATTGGGGCATCTTGGACTACAATACCCATCCTGCCCTGCCCCAAGGGGTGCGTTGGGCCTTTGCTGTCTAGGGGGCCAGGCTGGGAGGGCGGACTGCAGTGGGGAAGTGGGGAGGGTGACTGCCCTTTGACCCCAAGGTCCAGCTGATGGTGGCGCTGGGAGGGGCCTCTTCTGGGGGGAAATGTCCTTGATGGGATGGGAGAGAAAGTCTTCCTGGGAAGCTGCTGGATGGATCTAAGCGGGGGGGGATGAAGGGCACCTCTGAGAGCGAGTGGGGGGTGTTGCTTCCTTTAAAAAGTGCAAATTGGGGGGGGGGCCCGAGGCTCGCCTCTCTCCTTCCTGCTCATTTGCTTCCTGAGCCCCCAAACCCTTTTGCCCCGCCTTCCCTTTCCAAGGAGACCCCCGTTTTGGGTTTGTTCTGTGGGAGAAAAACCCCACCCCAACTCTTAAGGATGGGTGTCGATGCTGGCCTGTTCCTGGGGGCAATGGGCCAAGAAGGAAGAGGGTGCGGAAGAAGGAGAAGGACCAACCGGGGAAGGATTTGCTCCTGTGGGGTTGGAGGGGGGCAGGAATTGGGGGGCAGCTGCTGTTTGGAAGCATCCGTACGGGATCTTCCCCTTCGGTGTGCCAGCCTTGGAGAGTGGGGTGTAAAGCAGAGGGACGGGCCTGCTAAAGATACCCAGTGCGGTGAGAACAAGTGAACGGACTTTGTGCGCAGGAAATAAACTCTGGAGGACCATCTTTGGGAATGGGGGCTTTTCCATTTCTCTCTCGTCGCACCCCATTGTACTTGGCGTACATTGGCCTCGTCGGCATCCCTGATGGTCACCTTTTCTACGGCCGAATCTCTCTCTGGAGCCACAGCGGCATTTCGGAGCTCCAGGCCACGGCAGACTTCTAGAGGCGAACCCAGTTTGGAAATCTGCTTTAAGCGTTCGGGAGAGACCAAAGTGTAGTGAAGAGGCTGGGACTGCGTTGTTTCCTCTGCCGAGCAGATCTGGCCATCATTGTAGCAGCCTCTCATGGGAAAGAAGGGGAAAGCTGGTTCCCCGGAGATGGGTTAAAATTAGATTGGACGGAGGGTGAGAAAAACATTCAGGCAGACTGGATCAGAAGTGGCCAGAGAGACGCCAATATCCTGGGTAGTTGTACTGGCATGGCCCGCCAGGCCGGAGCTGACCATAACGCCACAAAAGGCGATGCCCTGGGTGGCTTGTTACCCACTGTGGCATCCTTGAGGTTGTAGCAGATGCTGAAGACAAGATGGCATGGTCTGTTGGTCTTCCAAGGTCTGACATGTCCTAGTCCAGTGTGTACAGCTGTGAGGGAATTTCCAGCTTTTGAACCGCAGTTCCCTCGCTCTGAAGACTCCAACAAACCTGGATGGATATTTAACAGAGTGTTAATATTCTCTCTGGAGCCAATATGATTATTTATTTTTCCTCCCTCCCTCCCCCTTCTTTCCTTCCCCCCTTCTTTCCCCCCTTCCTTCCTTCCCTCCCTCCCTCCACCTCTCCTTCCTTCCTTCCTTCCTTCCTTCCTTCCTTCCTTCCTTCCTTCCTTCCTTATGGCTGCCCAGTTTGTAAGATCAACTCTGAGAACTTGCCACTGATCTCTTTCCAAATCACTAAATCTACATCTTCCAGAATACTGTGTGGTTCAGATGAGAAAATATCAGAGAAATGCCCGACCCGTTTCCCCAAACCCGTTTCAGATTTTTGTGGACTGCCGTGTTGATCATCTCTGACCATTAGCCTGGATGGCTGGGCAGGGATTGATGGGAGCCATAATTCTTAAACATCTGCAGGGCACTGGGTTGGTCGAAGCTGCTGTCATCCTCGAGGTGTGGAGATTTTCTTCCTCCAAACCTAGCAGAATCTCAAGCATTTTCTGACTTTGAAAATCCAACTGAGCTTTGAAAATCCAACACTGACATAATCAGTGTTGGGTCAATTGCTTAGGTCACTGAAGACCTACTGTATTTTCATGCACAGAACTATTATAAAGGGGGGGGGGGGAGCTTCTGGATTTGATGCTGGGAAACAGAAGAGCTCAGAAATCAATGCTTTGTCCCAAGCCGAAACTCCATCCTGCTTTGCTCTGTTTGCAGGCTCTTGGTACCCCATATGAGGCATATCGCTGCTTCCTTCTTCAACTTGGTTTACAAATCAGTCTGTGGAACAAATGGATACCCTAAAAGGGACAGTGAAGAAGTCCACCTTACTTATGAAAAGTTTTTTTTTTCCCTTTATGGGAAAAAAAAGTTCTTTCGACTGAATGAAGCCTAGAGGTCACGCGTACAGTATTCATTGCAGGGACCAACCGCGAGGCTGTTTGCAAGCCTGGCACGATGGAGGATCCTTTTTGCAATGATTGTAGGGAAAGGAAGGAAGGAAATATGAATAATCCGCGATATTTATCATCTTGACATAAAGATGCCCCTAAAATGGTTGTTTGTCATACATCATCCCATTTGGTCCCTGACGCTTCAGATGTTTTGTGTGAGCGTTAAGATCTTGTGGGTCTGGTTTTAGTCCCATCAAAAGATCCCCTTTCCGTTACAGTATCTTGCTTCCGTGGCTTGGGGGTGTCGTCTCGTCGCTTGGGGGTCGCCACACAAGATGCACTCCTATTTGCACAGCCAACAGCCAGTTCATTTTCATGGGAGCGGAGGGCAGCTTGTAAATTTTGCCTGCTGCCGGCTCTTTGTCTGGAGGGGACAGTTCTGTACATTTCCCCAACCAGTCCTTCCAGAAAGATGTGTGCCTTGCACTATTCCCCAGATTGGTAAACAAGCTGAGATACCAGTCCTCAAGGCTTCAGACGCTAACCCTCCTTTGTGAATCATCATTCTTGGATGCTGCAGGGCTGGTGGGGCAGTTTAGCCCCAAAAACTAGCAATCTCACTTTCAGAGCTGGACTGTAGTTTGAAAACAGTCGGCCTGAATGCATGTTTTGGGTTTCCCCTCTGTTGAGGTTCCACTGGCTGAGACAGAGATTTATGACCATATGGCTGAGCCTTTGACACTATAAACATCCAGGCTCTTAAAGGAACTCAGAGCATCCTCTGGCTTGCTTGGCGGTTACAGGATCACGGTCTCTGGAACGGCATCAGCTGCGTTTGCACAACATGCTTGTTAAGTTAGCATGATGGGTTGAATTCATTCGCTGGGGTCGGGGGGGGGGTACGTATGATGCAAGACACATGCCAGAATGCAGTTGGCTGGCTTCTGGTTAGCCAGCTTTAACGGCCTTCTCGTGAATCCAAACAGAATTTCTCTCCCCCCGCCCTCATGGGGGTCTTCTCCAGCCCCCTGAGCGACGACTAATTTCTCAAGCACCTTAAAGTGGTTGGAAGAAGCATCTCGTAATGGACTGTGGCAGAGGATCTCTTCATCTGCCCGTCCTTTAGGGCCTCATCTGCATTAAAAGGCCAGCTTGTTGTTGAAGAACAAGACCCCTGTGCGGAGTGTATATAGAATAAGCTGTCAGGAATGGGATTTTGAGGCGCACAGAGACTCCGTTTCAGAGTGGATTGGAACGACCCCTCAAAAATCACCCTCCGCTTTAGCCGGCGGGAGCGGATTGATACCGGTTGGGGTACAGCAGAGAGATTTTTATTATTTTGTGCTTGGAAGCCTCCTCCCTGCCTCCCCCCCCCTTTTGTTCTGTTGGCTTGAACCTCGGCGGCAGGGCCGTACGTAAAACCGCGATGAGGTCGCGGCACGTTGGACAGAACACCATCAATCAGGTTTGCTCCCCCAGGGCAGTGAAGAATCTGGGCGAGCCCGCTGCGAATTGACCACCGTTCCGCTTCTCTTCCCCCCTTCCCAGCTGCAGGCCCAGAAGCTGCGCTTGGCTCACAGCCGAGGACCTTACTACGGTGGATCGCTGCCCAACGTCAACCAGATCGGGAGCGGCGCCACGGAGTTTCAGGTAACCGGCGCTGGAGCAGGCCAGACCTCTGAGGATTCTCCCTGAAACCTGGAACTTCTTCCATGACGGACTTGCTCCTCCGCTTCGGTCCCCTTCCCCGACCGGCAGGTGTTTAGGCCAAGCCCGGGAGCAACCCGCGTCGATTTCGTTTCATTGAAATCGACGTGAAGTTGAAGGTTGGGTCTTTCCGGCCCCAGAGGTCCCCACGCGGGTCCATCGCAAGGAGCAGGTTCTGTTATTTTCAGGAATCGTCCGCTGCTCTGGGGCTTCACGCTGGGCAGCTCTGACCCTGAGGGTAGGGGTCATGTTCCTTTTCAAGCCCCCCCACCCCTTTCGTCTGGAACAAGAGAAAGACCAGAGCCAGGGAGAGGGCGAAGGCTTGAAATGTTTATGCTTTTACGGGCAGCCCTGTTAGATAAGCGTTGCAAGCTTAGCTGCGAGTGCCTTATGCGCGTGGGGGGAGGGGGGGCACGTCCTCTGCCCCCTTGCTAGATCTCTGGGAGTAAAGATTAGGCTTCTTTTTACTTTCAAAACGGTCGTGTCATTCTGGATCTCTCTGTGATCTAAACAGGAAGTTCTGGGTGAGATAAAGGAAAGGGGTTCAGGAAGATGATTAGAATCCCCCCCCCTTTTTAAAAACAGCCTTCTTTAACTCTGTCTTGGTTCTGTTTCCCAGTTATGCCAAAATAAAACCTCTGGCTCTTCCATGTGGAGCAGGTTTTGGGGGAGGGAGGGGGCCGTTCCAGTTCCCCAATTTCACAGGCCTGCACTGGCATCTCACGTCCCCCCCTCTTTTCCTGACCGCTGCCTCCCTCTGCGCCCATCCAGGGTCCCCTCCATTCCCCGCTGGACTCGGCGCGTGGCACGCGGCATCACGGCCTGGTGGAGCGAGTGCAGCGGGATCCCCGCCGGATGATTTCGCCGCTGCGACGCTACGTGCGACAAATATCCTTTAGCCTGGCGTGGGTTTTCTCGCCCCTCGGTTCGGCTGGAGGTTCTCCAGGGATTAAAGAGCAACAGGCTTCCGCTTTGGGGTCTTGCATGCAGCTGGGACTTTCTGGGGACCCGCAGGCTTTGTGTCTTCCTTAACTTCCCCCCTCACATTGACAGCTCTCCTTACAGCCCGGCGTACTTGTCACCTCCTGCGGAGCCCAGCTGGAGAAGGTGAGACGTGCTGGCTTTACAATACTCCTTCACTTAACTTCCCCCCTCACATTGACAGCTCTCCTTACAGCCCGGCGTACTTGTCACCTCCTGCGGAGCCCACCTGGAGAAGGTGAGACGTGCTGGCTTTACAATACTCCTTCACTTAACTTCTCCCCCCCCCACTCCCAACCCCCCCCCCTTTTTCCCTGCCATTACTGATTTATTAGCTTTGTCCCCCCCCCCTGGGCCCCTTCGCCTCCTCATCCTCCCCCCCAATTCTTCCACACCCCCCGCGGGGGG